TGTCCCTGGGTTCAGTCCCCAGTATGGAGAAATAAAAAAGAAGTATTTCAGAATCATGTAGGTAACCTGATAAACCTATAGTCTCAGGGTCTAACCTATTCTAGTGAGGCTCATCCTTAGGTCCTTTATCAGCTTTCCAGGCTACTCTAATACACATCAACATTAGAGAACCACTGTGCCAAGTTACCCACTCCTGGGTAAGATGCTGCTGCTGAATGAAATCTATGGTTAAACCTGTAGTTAAAACCTAATTAAAAGCCATGGGTTCATTCATAATGTCAATGGGATCATTCATTAAGTCCTAATGGTACTTATTGGTGAGAATTTTATAAGCCTCTTTAGGAACATGATGAAAATGTATTTCCAGATATTACTAGGTTTAAAACAATATTTTGTGAATGCCAAATGGACTTTTTACCCGTAAATTTGTACTTTGTCTTGATTATATAATTATAAACATTTTTCAGAACATTATGACCATGACTATTTTCTGCCCAGTCAAAACAGAACATATATTATGATGTTTAGTGTAAACCTCTGGGAAAAATCCAATAACAGTGGTTCAGTCTGTACCTACTCAACTATCCCTGGAGTGGATGAGAAATAATCCTGTAACATTGGATGCTATTTCTGTTAAAACTTAAGGTGAGATACTATACAAAGAATTTGGTTTATTTTGTTTGTGGATGAAAATAGCTTTAAAGTTATGCCTTAACACAGGAAAAAAGAAAGAAAGCAACTCTGGGTGTGAGAAGCTAATCTTTGAGACGGTTATTACCTATATTATCCATCTGACTGTTTCCAAAGCTTATAAAACCAACTTTTTTTTTCCTTATCTGTTGCCTGGACAGCCACTATGTACTTGTTTGTCTCCACTCAGATTGACCAGGCATACTGTTGCATTTTTCCTTTTCAAGTATTTTCATATTGGATTAGATGCTTTTTATACTTTTTTTCCAATTTAAAAAGCCTATAATTCTGACTCATTAAATTCTGACTTGAAATAATAGGGCTTTTGTCCCCAAACCTGGCACCTTTAACAGGAACATCTCAGCATAGGATGGGTATGTTTGTTCTATTTTAATTTTCTATTTATTTTCCCAAATATATTTTAAATTTTGAAAGTTTTATAGTGTTACCAACAAGAGTTGGGACCAGGTTTGTGGTTTATGCAGTTAAAGAACAAATACCTCTAATGCTGAGGTAAGTAAGCAAGCAGGAATTTTATTTTAAAGCAAAGTGAGAAAGAGACTCAGAACTCCTGGAGCAGGGGCAAGAGTGCGCTTTAAGTCCTTCAGTGCTCCTCCTTTTACAGCCACGTAAGGAGAAGTTGATATGCTTCTTTGGTGGCCTCTTGATATTTCAATTGCCCACTGTGGGTGCCAGTGGATTATGGGTTCTTAGACACAGGAACTGTTTTAACATGTTAGTGTTGTTAAAATGATTGTGCTTGCCCTCTTTATGACTTTGACTGCCCCTTCTCTACTCTCCACTGCCTGGCCTCTTCTATCTCAATAGCAGCTGAGGACCCAAGCCATTGACACTGCAAATTGACATCAAGTTAAGTATGTTCGTAGAAATGTATGCAAATAAAATATTGATTTTTAGTTAATAACTTACCAAACATTTCAAGCTGTTAAAACTCCTGTGAGAATTTCAATGGTCCAAACAAAGGAAATGGATATATGTTGCTAATATAAATGACATGTAGCTTTCTAGTTGTTTTTTCTTTGTTTTAAACTTGTTCCCTGTTTAGGATTATTGCTCAGGAAATGATATGTATACATATATCATTGAAGCCAGCCTCAGTAACACAGTGAGAACCTGTCTCAAATGAAAAGGGCTGAGGCCGGGCATGGTGGTATATGTATACATATACATACTTGTATATATACAGATATACACATGTGTGTGTGCACAGCTATGTATATATACATACATATATATGTGTGTGTATATATGTATATGTGTATATATATAATGGTCCAGGGAGAGTTTGGGAGTCAAAGGCAAAGTTCTGTGTATGAGCACGAAGGGTAGAAAGACTTGTGAGTTGTCATTATTATTAACACAATCTCATTCGTAGCCACAGGCTGATGAAAACCATAGATACAGTGAAGTATCTCCCCAAAGAAGGTACATCAAAAATGTGGTGCCCAAAGCATTCTTCTGAGTTTTCTGTCCACAGGTTTGTCTCTGGTTTTGTTTCTGACCTGCATTCATTCCCTGGTTTCTGACTCGGGCCTCCACCGTTTAACTTACTGTTTCCTTACTTCCTAATCTTGCTGCTTTCTTTCCCAGTCTTTGCTTAGTATTTGCCTTCCTAGTAAGGCCTCTATGCAGAAAGAAAATCTGTAATGGCTCCTTTTGGGTCTGGCCTAGAAGTTCCTCCACTGGACTTTACCACCCACATTCTGTGCTGCCCCTTACAGTCACCATTAGTATACACTGGTTGGGTGGTGGTAGGTAAGAAAGAGGAGAGCCCAAATATAATAGAGGGTAAAAGTAATTCAAAACTTGTCTTGGAAGTTTCTTTAGAAGCTAAAACATGCAAAAAAAAAAATGAAAATAGCATAGATACTGTCAATCCTGATTAAATACTTTCTGGTAATATGAGCTCACATTTAAAGAACTTACTGCATCAGACACCATTTTAAATAGTTTGCAAATGTCAACTTTTTAATTCATCACAGCAATCACAAGAAGTAGATATGTATTCTTTTGATCCTTACAATACACAGAGGGAAATTGAGACCAGAACAGTTAAGCACTTACCCAATGTTACACAGTAAGATGCATCTCTGGGATTCATGTGACTCCAGGGCTTACCCCTTTAATCACTAAGCTATCATACCACCTATTTTGAACAATGTGACACTAAATATCCAAAGATGAGGCTATAGTAAAATGCACTTGATTACATGTACTGACTTAGAAACATGTTCCAAAAGAACAAGTATGATTTAGTCTAGCACTTACATAAGAAAACAATATCTATGCACTTATTCATTTCTGTATCATTTTAATACTTGAAATAAACGTGTATTGCTTTGGAAACCCAAAAGACAAAAAAATTTTAAACAGAATAACAGGCTGATTTTAGTTTTTAAAAAGGAAGAGCTCATAAGTGAAACGATAAGAGAGTGCCTTGTTTCACAGCTCCAGGATTTTGCCTATGCTGTCCCTGCTACCTGGAGTTCTTTCTTTTTTTTTTTTTTTTACAAAAATATATTTAATATTCATAAAAAGCAAAAATGTACAGTATTATTGGAGTAACAGTGCTCTGATACACCATGTAATGTTTCAGTCAGGTTAATTATGTGTATCTCTTCAAACATCTGTCAATTCTTTATGGTGAAAACATTCAAAATACTTCCTTTTAGATTTTTGAAATGTAGAGTAACATAATGGTTGTCCCTAGTCACCCTACTGTGCAGTAGTACACCAGAGCTTTTTATTCCTATCTAACTGTAACTTAGGACCCATTGATCAACCTTTTCCATCTCCCTTACATCTACCTTTTTCTTTTCTTTTCTTTTTTTAGTGCACTAATGAAAAACTGCCTCATCTTGCATTGTAAGACATTTTACAGAATTACTATGTAAGATATACTAGCATATCTCAGAATTTAATTAAAATGGAAGGCATACCAGAGAGGTGCCAAAGGAGTGGAATATTCATTTTGTTTCATAACTGAAATCAACAATTTGAAATATGTTTATAATTTTTTGCCTGTAGCATTCTTTCATATAATTTTCATTTTTTAAACCCCTAATGGAATACAGACCTATTTATGTTTTCTTCTGACAACATTTATCCTTCCTACTTCTTTAGAAAATTGAAGTTTTGTTTTAGAAAATATTCAGTGCAACATCTGTATTCCTGTTGGGCAGCAGAGGGCACTATGGAGTAAACAGACTTCAGAGGAAAAGAAAGGGTTTTTGATAGATCTGGGCAAGTGTCCTGACTTGTGTTGATTGGTGGTGGTTGTCTTGAATGATCAAATTTCACAACCTAAGTCCCTGTTTCATTCAAAGAATCTGTAAGCATATACCTAGAAATAGTTCTTGTTAGGAAAGGGCTAGTATCAAGAAATCAATTCTATTTTAAATTGGGAAATAATTCATATATCATAAAATTCACCCTTTTAAAGTGTGTATTTCAGTGAATTTTAGTGTATTCACAAGGTTGTACAACCATCACCACCGTATAATTCAGGACATTTCATCTCTCCTAAAGAAGCCCTGTACTCATTAGTAATTACTACTTTCCCCAGCATCTTGTCACTACAAAACTACATTTTGTCTCTGTGGATTTTCTCATTCTTGACAATTCATAAAAATGGAATCCTACAATATGGGGCCTTTTGTTTCTTCTTCCAAGAAGTGTAATGTTTTAAAGTTTCAGCCATACCATAGCATAATACGTCATTATTTCATTCCCTTTTAGACCTGAATATTATTCCGTTGTTTAAATATATCACATTTTGTTTATCTGTTCATCACTTGACATTTTCCCCTATTTTTGACTATTATGAATAATATTAGTAGGAACATTCATATAATTTTTTGTGTAAACATGTGTTTTCATTTTCCCTGGAAACATACCTAAGAGAAAAATTGCTGTGTCCTTTAGTAATTCTGTGTTTAATTTGTAATTGTCAAACTGTTTTCTATAGTGTTCACACCATGCATTCCTACCAGCAGGGTGCAGGGGTTCTAATTTCTCATCATTGTCAACACTTGTTATTGTCTGTCTTTTTGATTATAGCCATTATAGTGGGTGTGAAGTGGCATTTCAGTGTGGTTTTGATTTGCATCTCCAAGAAATAGATTCCTTTAAGCATTTAGGATTCAGGCATTTATTTCAAGCTTAAATTTTATCTCACTGCATTGATGTAGTAATATGTAATGTGTTTGGCTATAATGGAATAGATTTTTACTCCCTCACTTATTCTTTACCTCTCTCCCTTCTTCCCTTCCTTCTTTTCTTATGACCAGGTGCTAACAAATCTGCTTTCTTCAAGGGCACTAACTACTTTGAGTTGATGAAGGGCTTGGTTCAGCACCAAAGTTGGTAATGAATGTTACCAGAAGTCAAAATGTAGAACAGGTAAGGTGATATTTCAAGAACATTATAATTATTTGATCTTGTACTATTTGTGTAAATATTGTATATTCTCAACTACTGAGATTGTCAACAATGAAAGCTTATATTAAGAAGCATGAAATAGCTACTGTGATGAGTATTCCAAATGTGTTTATTTATGAAGCATGGGACAGTAACTGACCCTGTGCTAAGATTCTCTCTAGTCTGAAATACATGTTTTGACAGTCTTGCCTTAGGTAACATGTCTCTTTGTTCTCTTTGTAGATACAGGCAAATATTTCACTTGTGATCAGCACCTTGTTTGTAGCTATGGTGCATTCAAAACTGTTGGTTTCTGATATGAATAAAAATAACAAATTGGCATTCCTCATCTATTTGGCACATTGACTTCATTAGTGTAACAGACACATGGTGACCTGACAATTGAGGAAGGGGCTTAATACATAGGCTGAAGTCAGTATTTGAAGGGAGGAAGTGTTGGAAATGAGAGATGGAAGGTCTTGTAGGTTTTGCTTAGCATCTAGGACAATGTTACAATGACAGAATAGTGAACTTGCTGAGGACTGCTCATCTTGAGGTTTGCCTGCTTGCCGTAAATGTTCCCAAGGCTACTAGCTAATGATACCAATTATGTAAGCTGGTACCTTTCAAAATATCAATTTATATCTGCTGTATAGATTAATCTGATATAGGCCATGCTACAGTAATACACTAAAACCTCAGTGACAGTGAAAATATTTCTAGTACCAAGTCACAGAAAATGTGTATAGTCATCTCCATTTTGTAGTTATGCTTTCTGGGACACTTGGTCAGAAGTTGCTGAAGGTAGAAAAGATGATTTGTAGAGAAAGTCTACCCAGCCCAACTGCTTGGGGTAGAGGTGGCATCACTTTCACTAACATTCCATTGGTGAGAATTTGTCAAAGTGTCCTTTTAGCTACAGGGGACTGAGAAATAGAGCCTCCTTGAGGAGGGACTAGCAAGGTGAAGTGATAGCCTTCACTGTCATGTATAATATTTGTGAAGTATTCACAAGTCTGATCATTTTTCATTCTTAAAATACTCAGAAGGAATCAGGGCAGGAATACCTGTGTTTCTCCTGTTGGGGAAACTGAGGTTAAAAGAATCTCAGTAATATTCCAAAGGACATACAGCTAGTATTCAGATGACATTCAGATGTCTTTCTCTGCATACATCTCAAACCTGAAGAAAAGATAGATGAATGTACATAATTGTGGTAGAAAATAGTCATTTTGACTATAATAAACTCTTTTCTTAAGGTATCTGATGTGTCCATGTTATTTATAACATAATTATAATCAAAATCAATTTTATTAATTTTTATTACAATAAGATTAGCTTACTCTATAAACCAATAATTCTGATTTTACCACAATACTAATTTTACTATATTGAACTAATTGCTACGTTTTTATCTTCCTGGTAACCTAGCCTTTTTGAGGCCTTGGCCTGTGTCTAATTCATCTCATTACCCTGGCATCTAACACAGTGCTCTGCAACCAGTAGGTAATCTCCAATGTAAAAATGGCCACCCTGAGTGGAACTTGAATCATGTTCCACAGAACAATAATTGACCTATTTCTCAGCATTGGAGTTAGGGAGGTTTGGCCGTTTCCTGATTTCATAGATATTCACCATAACATGTATATGCATGACCAATGATGGTGATAGAATGGGACATTTCTCTTTATAAAACTAATGAGCCCATAAGAGGATGGAAATCAAATTTTCATCCCTTAAATATTATATTCTAGGGGACTCAGTTACCAGTCCAGCCTGTAATAGGTAAAGCAAGCTAGTCTATTATTATTCAACATAAAACATAAACCTCTTTCTCTCCTAGAGTTACAGTGAGCATACTATAAGGCTCTTCTTAGGAATTTAACAGACTTTATAGAGAAAATATTCACTGCTCAGAACAGAGACAAGTATGCTTTGTTGATGACAATTGCAAAAGGTGGAAAAAATTCCTGCAGTGTTAACACTATATAAAGTTTAGTCCTAGCTCTAATGCTACCTCACTCTGATACCTTGGTTAATTATCTTCACATCTCTGAGCTCCACAGTGAAGAGGTTGAATGACTTTTTGTTTCTCCATGGGGAGGCATTTGGCATCTATGATGGGAAATTTTTTCATGAATGAGAGAATAGGGCACTTTGTAGATGTTTGACATCCTTGGCCCCCAGGTACTAAATGCCAGTAGCTTTCTCAGTCATTATGGCAGCCAGAAGATGCCCTCCCCATTCCAAGTGGGCTGCTCCCAAGTTGAGAGCTATTAAACATGATTATCAAGTATTTTATAATTTCATGATAGCTCTACATCTATTAGAAATAAGATATTTGATTTTAGAAAAGATTGATAATGATGACACAACAATAATACTTGTAATCAGTGTCTGCCAAGTACTTAACTATGGCTACTGTGCTAAGAGATGTGTGTGGATTATCATATCCTATCTAATAGCAACCATTTAAAGTATGTCTTATTAATATTTCTGTTTTACAGCTGAATACAGTAACTCTTAAAGAGTCACTGCACAAGGTGACACAGCTAGTAAATGCTGGGGTGAGGATGAGAAGTGATACAGGGGAAATGAAATGGGAAAGGGGAGCCAACATTGGATACCAATTCCAAGTGCCGTGCTCTGTAAGTTTACATCCTCTGACTCACTGGATCTCTGACAAAAACCTGAGATATGCATATGTCATTATGTTATAGATGAAAAAGGCAATGAACTTTAACATTTGACTTCATTTCTTTGTTTTTCTATTTTTTTTTCCTGAACTATTGCCCTGCAGTAATCAAAATCTTCTATAAGGTTATCTTTTAAACGCCAAGAAATGGGTCCATTTCCTCCTGAAAAATGGAAGTATAATATTTCCCTTCTTGCTTCTTCATTGGACATGAAAAAGATTATGGTGATTCCTTAGCCAGCCAGCATATTGACCTAGGGGTTTCATCAATTCATTCAGCAGACATCGTACTGTCGACATCTCCCTCTGCCTGCATTTCCAGACTTTGTTCATGTGTTTCTCTGCCACTCCCCACACCTGTTCAAACAGCTTCTCAAGCATTTAGGAAATGAAAATGGGGTGAGCAAGTGATTCGTGTTCTTTTTAAAGTTTCAAACTGACTGCTGTAGACAGACTGCTTTCCTTGGTGTCAACAGGATGAAAATCTTCTTGATGCTTTATTTGTACCCTCTTAATGCTCATCATGAAAAACTGATGCCATCCAGCTTATGGATTCCTGTGGGAATGACACAAGATAACCATCAGGGTGGGTGACTCACAACTAAATCACCACCAGACACCAAATGGCCCTGCTGTGTGCTCTCTCCTGGGCAGAAGGAGGCATGTGATAGACCTGTTTTGCTAGTTGCACTTTGGGGCACATTCTGTTTCCAGGCTTGGAGAGTATCCCTGAAATTCACTCCTACTTGGAGTCTGTCAGAAACCTGCTACAACAACAGCACTTTTGCATTGTGGAAGCTGGATTTGCATTCCTGTGGCATCATTCAGGCACAGAGATTGGATGTGTCTCCTATAGGTTTCATGAGAGCCTTTGCCATAGCCTTCCAAGGAAGGGTCATGCGGCCTCACTTTGACAGTAGGAAATCTGAATCAGAATGATGCTACCAAAGGCCACTCTCCATTTAGGGTGATGAGAGCAACTCTGGGAACTAATATAATGAAGAGTTGGAAGCCGAGGCTAGAAAAAAACCTTAAAGTTCATTATTTGGAAGAAAGTACTGCATCCCAGAAAAGGTAGGTCATTTGCCATGGGTTATACAATTTGTATGTAGCTGCAACAGTAGCAACTGAGCAAAGTCTAGGAATTGCAAATTTCTAACCTACCATACTTGTAAATAGCCAACCTTTGCTGTGTGTAGTGTTAAAGAAAAAAAAATTCATGACACTTGTTAAAATGGTAAGGAAGATTTTTCTTCAGGACTTTTACAATACAGATATTGACTCGATTCCAATACAGTCAGGACAAGAGGATGATTGTACTGGAATTGAGCAAAGGGCGGTGGATGGAAAATCATAGAGAAGCCTAAAGGGTAGAGCTGTTCTTGCTGATGCTGGCCTAACAGGCTTCTTGCTGAAGGTAGACTAAGAATGTACACATGCCATATAGGCCATGAAGAACACAATTGGATATCATGGATGGGGAGATCTTTCCTGAAGCAATTTAGCGGAATTCTTTTTGCTTTGCTTTGCTTTTTTTTTTTTTTTTTAAGTCCTGGGGATTGGACCCAGAGGTGCTTTACTACTGATACATATCCCTGTTTTCTATTTTCTGTTTTATTTTAAGATGAGGTTTCACTAAGTTGCCTAGGACCTTTGCTGAGGCCAGCCTTGAACTTGCAGTTCTTCTGCCTCAGCCTCCTGTGTTGCTGGGATTATAGGCCTGTGCACTGTGCTCAACAATTTAGCAGGATTCTTGATGCAACTGAGCTAAGCAGGCAGAAGGCAGGACAAGTAAGGTAAGATCACAGAAGCCTGATTACAGTTTGTTCAAAGAGAGTTTTTGACAACAGGAAGCATCTGGAATGAGGGTTAGAGTACAGAATCTATAGGTCTAGGACTGGCCTTAGAGTTTGCATCTTTCATGAGTTCCAAGTGATCCTGAGGCTGATGGTCTTAGAACACATTGAGTAGCAAAGCATTAGAGCACATTGCCATTAGAGGACCCTGTCCCAGCATATTTTGCTCTTTATTAATAGGAATATGATTTCTCCCATCTATGCTCTTAGTAGGGAGGCAGCAAGCTTGCTCACTACTTTCTCCTACCCTTGTGCTTTCTTCCTCTTTCCCTCACTTGCTTCTTTCTTTCTTTTCACTTGTTATATTCAGCAGAACATGAAAACCACAGGTTAGTAAATGCATTCTAAGTTGACTAGAAGATGATTGCTCATAGAGAATGCCCAGGATTAAAATGAGCACTTCTGTCAGATGATAAAGTGTTTAGGATGTGATTTCTAGATAATCTACACTCTTGATGCCCTGTCAACATGTGAAAGGATGTTTAAGTGGCTGGTGGCACATATCAGCAGGGTCCTGGATGCCAAACTGTCAAGGTTCTTCTTCACTGCCATTCTCAACACCACTGTTTGAAGTTCTTTTTTTAATGTAGCTGGACACAATACCTTTATTTTATCCATGTGGTGCTGAGGATTGAACCCAAGACCTTGCACGTGCTAGACAAGCGCTCTACCGCTGAGCCACAACCCCAGCCCCTGTTTGAAGTTATTGATGTAAGAATATGTGGAGGATGCAGTCAATCCATATTTACAAGCAGATTTGAAACTATGACCCAAGTGTGGAAAAAATAAGATCAAAGAATAATGGAATTCATTCTCGGTACATTTTTAAGAGCTACCTTGGTTGGAAAAGAGCTATAATTTTATATTAACAATTATTGTTATATTATTGAGAATTTATTACTCTCATTTCTGTTTTAAATAGAAGTATAAATATATGCAAAGGAATCTTCTATGATTTTGAATTCTAATACCATTAAATGTTTATAATAATCTTTAGTCCTTAGACAAATCTGAAGGAGACAAGAATTTAATTGAACATTTGTCAATTGTTGGCTCTATCTGCCATTATATGATAGTGGGTATTGTTTTTTCTTTAATGTATATTCTTGCAATAGAACTGTTTTTCTCTCTCCTTTCAACTATTCATATCTTTGAAGTATACTGTGAGCAACTTTGAATTAATTTTAGCATTAAAAAATTTCAATAGCTCTTCATTCAGCACATATTTATTCTGGAGCAAGAGGAACAGAGGAAAGCAGGCATTGACCGGGCATCCATTGACTCTGGTCTGGATTTGAAAGCCTGCATAGATCTCATTGAAAACGTAATATCTGTTTGTCTCCTTGTCCATTTTCATTTAAAGAGAATTGTCCCTGCTTGACATGTTGATCCATGTCAGGAATCAAGCTCTGTCAGGGGATGGGAAATGGGGCAGAAAAGTCCTGCATATTTTCTCCTAATGGGTCTTTGTGTGCAGAGTCTTTAACATCCTAGCTAAACTCTCATGTCATTTGCCCTATTCTATCATCTCTAATGCAGATGTAGCTACATATTTGTCAATTTGTGCATAGCCTCTTTACGCAAAGAGGCTTGTTGTGATTAAAAATGGTTATTCTGTTGACTGGAAAAACAGCTAAAAACATGGGTACTGTAGAGCATGGCTGATTAACATAAGGTGAATGAGTAGATCCAAAGAGCTTAACGAAATTTGGCAAATTAGCATGCAAACAAACAACTACCATAAATCCTCAGGCCACTACCTTGCAGGCTGTAGTTTGTTCATTTAATTGGACAAGTACCAGTTAGTTTCAGTAATTTATGACAATATTTCATGCCTTATTAGTAAATTAGCTTCAGTGTATGGTTTGTGAATTTGTTGATGTCCCTGTACTCTGGAATCTTTCTGCATGCTCTGGGAGAGTTGGCATGGTCTTTTCTGTGGCTTTGTCTGCATGAACAAGATGGTAACATGTTAGAAGCTTGTGGGTTGCAGTGAATTTTGGAGACAGGTCTGAGCAAACCAAAGCCTTCAACTTTCTGAAAGTTCTGTAGCTACACTGTTACCTTTGATTCTCAACAACCATGTCAGAAAGGCACTTGGGAGACTGACCTCTCTCTGTCCTTTGCAGGTCCTGGATTCTATCATTTTGAGTGTCCTATCACTTTTATTAGCCTTTACATGAAACTAAATCTTCCTTGAAAATTGCTGTGATTCCTAACAGGAGTAGACATCATGTTGATTTTATTCATTTTATAACCAGTGACTTCTTGTGGGGAGAACAGTTTGCTTAAAATGCTTAAAAATGATTAATAAATCAAACATGAGCTGATTTGAAAAAATAATAATGATCCAACCTTGATCTGATAAATTATTTGTGGCATTCTAAAAGCTACATTTTTCTGATCAAATATGAAACAAGTGTCTGGGGTTGTGGCTCAATGGTAGAGCACTTGCCTAGCATGTGTGAGGCACTGGGTTTGATTCTCAGCACCACATATAAAATAAAATAAAGGTCCATCAACAACTAAAAGATAAATGAATAAGTAATGAAACAAACTGAAGTTCCTAAGAGAGACTGATTTAGTTTCTGATAGTTGTCACCTGTAAATTCTGCTTTTTCGATGATGACAAGATACTGTTTTCAGGCAGGAAAGTGAAACATAGATATTGTTTAGATGCTGATACCTCTCTAAATGTTACTGATTTTAGTAGAATGAAGCATATTGCCTTATTTTTGCCAGCCTCAGTTACTCCAGCAACAAGGATGTAATTTCCTGTTGTATTTTCTACTGATATGATAAAATGAGAAGAAGAAAAAAAAAAAAACAGATAAAAGAAAGCAAAGCAAAGTCTTTGGTTTCCTATGAATGATTTCAGCAAAATTCAGGTCAGGCAAATAAGGCATACAAAAACCTTTCTCTAAGACATTTTATATTTTGAAAAACCATTATGTTGGTTCAGGATATCTGAAGAAAATTTGTAGAAAATACTAATAATTAAAACCACTCCTTAAAATAGCATGAATCATGGAAGTTTTTAACTTTCAAAAGAACTAAAATACATGAATATCTGCATAATGTTTTATAATCTGCATCTCTGCGTATTTGGAAAAAGGATTTTCATACATAAAAATTTCCTATTAAGTTTACAAAAAAGTCTATCTCAAATAAAAATATGTTGTTAACTTAATTTCAGGCTTACCATAAACTCCTTCCATAATATATATGCTGTGAATAAATCTATTATAGTATTAGCTCACACTTTCTTCATTACTTGAAATATTCTACTTCATTTAGAACTCGAACAATAATAATTTGCTTCTGAACATATTAATATACAATTACAGACTTATGATTATACACAAGATATTAGCAGAGATTATTCTTATTATTTCCTAAAAATACAAGTTTAAATGTATATTTTTGATTGTAACTCCTTCAGTGTGTTAACCCGGAGAGGCTATATTCTCAGTAATTTAGCTTTTTTTGGACATTCTCACAGGTGGGATTAAGATAATTTTAGAATTTTATCAATCTCAAGAGAAGATTCGCTCTATACTTACATCTTCCTGAACTTTGTGTCTAAACAATATTATTCTGTTGATACATCCTTTGCCTATCTGCCTGAACTTGGTCTGAATATCAGACTGTGGGAATTTTTGATGTGTCCATAGTCAATAATATCAAATATTCTAAATAAATTCTAAAATATTTAAACCCTGGTAGCACTGAGGCACTAAATAGATATTGTTGCCTCTGAAGGGAAGCTTTTTGAATGTGATAATTTGGGTTTTTTAAATATAATTAGATAGTAATGTGGTTAACTTTATATCTTGTAAACACATGAATATTTTCTTTAAGTACAACTTCATGCTTTTTGTCATTGTTGTTGGCAACTCTCACTTCTGTCTGACTGATCACCAAAGCAAATTAGGCAAGGTTCCAGAACTCAAACCTGTGTGTCTCAGTTTTTACCTGTCCGTCAATCTCTCTGCAGAAATTTGCAGATGGCCTACACTTTAGTCCCCTCAGGACCTACTGTGCTAAGGGTCTGGAGGAATGCAAAACCCAGAAGGCATCACCCTGGCACTCAAGGAACTAGTGGTATACTTGAAAGGATGTCTTAAAACCAAGACTTTTATTGTTCGTTTTCATTAAACAAGTGAATCTGCTTAGCAACCAATGGTTGCCTGCTTCTTCTCATCCATTGGTAAGGGAGGGATCCTTGGTCTAGAGTTATGGAGATGGCCAAATATATGACATCCAACCCTGGATGAATGAGATCAGCATCTCTTTAGTCTCAAAGGCTCATATCTCCAGGAACATAGATACCCCACAGCATACAGTCCCTCAGAATAGAATGAGTTGCAGGGAGAGTGAGAGGCAGGCTTTATAGTAAAAGTAAGGTGGGGTGGCCCTATGTTCCAGCAGAAGGATATGATTGGCTTGTTTGCGTAATTCCACAGGCTGAGAGGAAATCAAGACCAATTACTCAGGGATAATAAGCAGACACTGTGTCTGTTCCCTGTCATAGAAGGGCTGTTTTTGCTGGGAGGTTTAACCTAGGAGGGGAATTTGTGATTAGGTCATTTGAGCCCCTCCTGGTTTTCCCCAGATTTCAAAGCATACATAATTGGGCTTTGATGATAGCATACTGCTCTGTATAAGTCTTTGAATTAAATGCTATAGAAAAATAGCATTTGTTTTAAGTAGCACTTGCCTTTAGGAAATATGCCGTCAAGTAAGGGATTTATAAGTCTAAGAAATGTAAAAGTATATTTTAAAATTATTAAATGCAATAAAAGGCACAAAGAAAAGTCCCAAGTGACGAGAAGCATAGAGGTCCCCCTGTCTATAAGAATCTAGAAAAGTCTGGTGAGCAGGAGCACAAAATTTCGATTAGATCTTAAGAAATGGGTATAATTTTAGCAAATAAATACAGAAAGACAGCAAGAAGGGAGACGGGCCAGAGCAAAGACAGAGACAGGAAAGCAAAGAACATGTTCTAAAATGTCCAGGAGTCTAGTTGGAGCACAGAATGTGCAGAAGAAAGAAACTTGAAGAAAAAAGGAGAATCAAATTGTGAAGGGATTTTAATTTATACTTTAACGCAGTGGAGTCCGGAGGGGTCTGAGCTGGTTAATGGAGAAGTCAGAGCTGCTTGTGCTTAATCTGATAGGTTTGCACGTGATGTCTGGGATGGGAAGACAGGCTAATGATAAGCAGGTAGGAAGCTGGTATAGCAGCATGAGTGAGAAATCAAGAGGTCTTGATCCAGAACAGCAGAAGTACAAGTAGTGAGAAAGTAACAGAAAGGGGGAAAGGCAGATTTGATAATATTCAGAGTGAAAGAGGTCAGACTATGTTCTGAGTCAGGGCAACTGATTCAAACCATTTGTGTACAACGTAGGACAACTGATTCTGTGGGGCAGAAAATAATTACTTTATTCTCCAACCTATTTTTAAATTAATTTGCTTAACAGCCCCTTGTTTGTTAGAAGTTTTGCCGCAGTCTGGCTGGGCACAAATCACTAGCCACTGAAGCAGGAAC